GCAATTGGAATGGTCCGTAGATTGTACTGTCCGACCATAACAGGACACCCCAAAAATAGATACTCCCCTCATGCAGAAACCCAACCGGTCTCCAACATGGGATCACATGTCCCACCAGAGCACACAACCGCACAACCGGAACGCAGGGGGCGGTCTCATCAGTCCAGGTCGGTCACCGAGGCACGACCGCGTTGCCGAAGGTGGCGTTGAGCAGTCCTTTTCGTTGAGCGACCGGGGAAACGAAGGGACATCAGCCATGTGGACGAACGTAGGGGAGGGCATCGCTAGTAACAAGTGCATCGCTTGACCTGTAGCAAGATTTTTGCTACTAGTAATGCAGTAAGCACGTGTTTGTCCACTTAGTCCGAGGAGCAAAGGGACGGACTCCCCCCCCTGGTCCTCAGTAAATGGTTGATCACCTCCGGGAATTATGTGAATTGCTCCAAAATCTCTCAGATAAAGAAACGAAAATCCCTTCCAAACATAACAACCCTCTCCAGCGTCTTTGTTGAGGAAGTCGCTCGGGTCCGTCGCAGGCCAGCAGTCAGTCTCCCGCGGGTTTCGGCCCAGTCTCTGGGTTCAGCCCCACACGACCACCGACCAGACCCACTTTTCCGAAAGTGGACCGAAGCTATCATCCAGGAGTGACAAAGGGGTAGTTCTGAGTCCCATCCAGTGAGTGGATAATGGGCACCCCATGGCACCCCTATCTTCCAATAGGCACCCTCTTGTGACTCCTGGATGATGGCCGTTCGCTTTTTTTCTGAACCAAAGGATCCAGACCAAGACAGTGCCCCTTGCTTCAGAGTCACCTCCCATGTCTCCGCCCATTCACCCCCTTGCCCAAGGAGCAAACGCGTCGATCCGAACGCTCACCCGACACGCGGAGCCCGGGTCCTCCGATCATCTCACCGGTGTGCGAGGCCATCGACTCGGTGGCGGCGCCCAGGATGCCTTGGGGACGACCAGCGCAGGGCGGGGTGAGGCCAAGAGGAGAGGACGACCACCACGTGGGGGGTCTGCGCGGCGCTGGCGAGGAGACCTCGCGGTAGGGTCAGTGATTGGAAGGTCTTTTCGCGGGCATGGTCCGGTTCCAAAATCGTGTGCCCCTCAAGAAATGAACCTGGTTTGTCTGGGTGATGTTCAGCCCTCAAGGTGATGTTCAGCCCTCCCTGGGTCAACCCTCAACCAGCGTATTAGAAGCACAATCATCTCTCTGCAAAAGACACTGGCCAGCCTCGGTCCGGGTTCAATCCCAACCGCTCAGGCTAGTATAGGAACCTGGTGCAAGGAAGTTAGGAGAACCCAGGTCCAAACTCTTGCTTGCATCAATCTTGCTACACACGCCCTGCCAAACAAGGAACACGGTCTGCGCCACCCTTCGCGGAACTCCCCCTCCCCCCCGCGCGGAACTCACGGCACCTGCAAGCGGAACAATGGCCAGGAAGTTGAAGGTGAAGATCATGGCGCTGTTGAATTCCAATCGTTCTGCCCGTTGAAGGTGGCTCTTTCACGGAGAGAAGGCTCACTCAAACGGCCGCCCCGTGGTGGGTGCGTTTTGCACAGGTCCACCAGAACAGCGAGTTGGGGTGAACATCTGCAGGGACCACTGGAATCATGGGTACGTCAAGGAGAAAAACTTCAAAGATCAAGGCACCACTACAAATCCACCATTAGTAACAAGTGCATCGCTACTAGGAACAAGTGCATCGCTTCTAGTAATAAGTGCCTTACTAGTAGTAACAAGAAGCAAATCCACCACCACGAAGCCAAGAAGGAACCGACGGATCTTTCGTTCGTCCACCGGATCCCTAGCAAGGTCTGCGCACAGAAACGCAGGTCGCCTGCTCAGGCTTCCGAAATCGGAGCTTTCTGTCGGCCACGCGCCAAGGGTAGGAGCTCCAAAGGTGATTGTTGTTTTCCGTTTCGCAAGGGGAGGAGGTGATTGACTCAAGTTCCTTCAAGAGCCACGAAGAAGGAACGAACTTGAGTGAAGAAAGTGCAAGCATCATGCACTTCGTGATGCTTGGGGTGAGGAGCTGTCACTGTCAGTTGAGGTACCCGTTACCCATGACTATTTGCGCCAGCGAGGTTACCCATCAGACCATCAGACCCGCTTTGAATAGCAGTCGGTTGGTGACATGAGTTCTTCAACTCCACGACGGTTGCCCCGAAATAAGAGTGACACAAGAAGCCAGCAGTATTCTTACTGGGACCCAGGAATGATGTTCTTCGGAGAATAATAGAGAGGTCGATTTGGTACCATATGACCATATACCTGTTGGTTGTACACTTGGGGGTATCCCCTCCATTAATCAACCAACTAATAGTAAAGGGACATATTTGGGACCCAGGGCCATGCTCCACAGGTGGCCCCCCCATCTTGCGGATTGGTCCTGCGAAAAGACCCAATGGCACGAAGACCAGGAGGATCATAATCTTGCTGCAAAAGATATTCGCCAACCTGGGTCATGTTTCTTGAAAAATTCCCTATGCATAGACTGCTCTTTAGTCCAAACCAAACATATCAAATGTGCAAGGGAAAATCATGGAAAATGTTGACCTATCCAATGTTGTTGGGGTCATCTGCCTATCTACCTGTTTATATACCTGTGATTGTTGGCTTTACATTCGCTGCCGTGACCTAGACATTGAAGGTGCCAAAGCAACATGTTCCAACGAAGTGGACCTTATGATGTGCTCGAAAAGGGATACAAAACTAAGCACCTAAAATCACTGAAAACGTATAGAACCCCATGTTTGTAGAGGAAAATGGTCTTCCAAGGGGCCATCTTCCACTTCCATGTTACTTTCAGGGAGTCTAGGTGTTTCCGGTGTTCCTTCTGCTTGGGCCTCCACGTCGAACCATCTTTTGTCGACGTCACAAGAGAACTCTCGCCGCTCTTTTTGGGAGTGCGACGTGGGTTTAACCGCTTCTTAAGCACTCCAAGTGACGCTTCCATCTCCTTCCCGCAAGTGTTCGAAGACCGCGTTTCATGGGACACATGCGCCTGAGTCGACTCGACGGGTCGGGTTGTAAGAAAGAGCGGGTTGTTGGAGGCCATCGCTATTAGATAGGTGGAGGCCATTGCTAGTAGGTTGGAGGCCATCGCGTTAGGTGGAGGCCATCCGTCTGGCTCTCGACTGGTGTCCCGTCGTGTGTTGTTCCGTCCCGTCGTGTGTCACCTGCTGTGAGCCGCCCAACAACAAAGGGGCCAGCGGCCACGGGTGTGACTCAGAACGCGTTTTTGGAGCCGGCGCCTCAAGAACTGACACATCGATTTTACTCCCAAGAACTGACGCCGACAAAAACGAATGAAACGAATGGAACATCGGAACATCCTTTCCTGGGCCCTCCAAACAGGAGTTCTGTGGCAATGCAAACTCTTGCCACACGGGACATGCTCAAAGCCAACTTGGTTGAGGTGACAGGGACATGGCACATCTCCAATCAATTATCTGCAGGCAGGGTTTATACACAGTATTCACCATGAGATCCATGAGCAGGGCTATTCATGGAGCACACATTAGCAACCAGCCTCCAGTTTTCAAATGCAAACAAATGTCCATATGACAATGGGGCTCACTTTCGCGATGGTTGAAGAAAGGTGAAGTGGCGTTAAAACCGTATCACGGCCCACTCACTACAACCCTCCATCAACCCAAATACCAATAGAGCCGATGAAAATATCTCCACTTCCAAAAAAAAGAACAAGACATCTTCTCCCATCGCATCTTCTCCCATCGTCTCGGCACCTCTCTGCGTTCGAGCAAAGTGAGATCGCTGGTCTTCTGTCTCCTTGGAACGCAGCGCTCCCGTGTCGACGGATCGGGTCAGGAAGTGGTTCAGGTGATGGTAGGCATGGTTTTGGGGAGAGGAAAAATCAAAATCTGGCCCCTGTCAAACATCAAGGGAGTGGGGGTACAAGGGGCTCCTTGGATAGACGATAAAGGAAAGCCAAAGAAAAAGGAAATAACAAGGAAAAGGAAAGGCTAAAGAAGAGGAAAGAGGCCTTTGTTGTCTTTGGTTGTGGCTGCGGCCAAAAGCAAGACGGGGTTGGAGGATGGTGCAACGCCTCTCCCAAAGCCAAACCAAGCGAGAACTTACCTCCCACATGACATGAGCCAACAGCCACAAGGCTTCAAAAGACAGCAACAAAAGCCCGAAGCAAAAAGACTGACTAAGGTGCGACTCACAGGGAATGAGGGTGGCTGGATCCAGTTTGGAATCTTGTCTTGGGAGCGAAACTTCCCTTCATCCGTACTAAGCACCAGGTTAGAAGAGAAGGGGGTGGGTCTTTCAAGACCCGCTTTCGTTCCGCATCTCCGTCTCCCAGCTCTGCGGATTTCGGTCACTTGTCACCCACGTGTCACTCCAAGCGTCGACTTGGGGGATTTGAAGAACATCCTCCCACGGCCGCGGCGCAGAACCGCTCCGTTGCGCACGTGGAACCGCGCGCCGTTGCGCGCTCCGCTGGAGCCACCGCGCTCCGGGACGGCGAAGGAGGACGTCTCAAAGCGACCGCTTTTGAAGAGGCTCTCTCAACCGGCCGGAGGACGTCTCAACTGGCACAATGTGTGGGAGTTGAAAAAGGTGTGGGACTATGTGGGACCGTTGAGTTGGTCGGGCACTACTTCTGGTCGTAGGCAAGGCCGGAAAGTTGCAGACACCCTGAAAAACATAAGACAGGCAGCAATGGCTGAGAAGGTTTGTGCCAAACAAGACCTGTTTTTGAACGTTTTGCAGCGTGGTCGCTGCTGTCGTGGACCCGCTCTGACCTCGTGGTAATGTAGACTCTTGACTAATTTAAAAGCATTTGGATTGAGAAAACTCTTCATTTGGGGAGGTTATCAATCAAGAGCCACATTAACCATTCTTGGAAAATAGGTCGATTCACACCAACCGAGTGGATCGCGACGGACTTGCAATCTACCGTTCCGTTCATCAATTGAATCTACTCCTTCCCAGGTCGTCCTTACACCGTTCCGAGCCACCGAGCTCGACCCGTCGTGCCATTCCGGAGGCCCTGGGCCGCACCAAGCTAGCACGGTGCGGAGGATCATGGGTCCGAAACATTCGACGGATCCACGTGTTGGCTACCATGCTACCGTGGGGTGTGAACCAGCCAAATGTGTTCGCTTTGTGTCCAATCAGACACTGCTTAACAACGCTGTTTCCACTGCAGTGTCCACACTTGACACGTTCACCGGACCTTCTCATGCAACTTGCCTGCCTTCGCAAGGCAAAGAAGAGAGCTGATCACAAAAAGGAAGAAACTAAAACCTCCCTCAAACTTCCAGTCGTGAAGAAAACGCCAGCTCTTGGAGGGTCAAGCCTCAGGCCAAAAGCTTTAGGACCCATCCTAAAATGGATGAAACCAAGTCATGCAAGCAAGCTTGCCTGGTGCATCACCAGGTTTTAGACTTGCCACCCCAGTAGTGTTCAGGGTTCATGTCACCTTCTGTGGGGCTTAGCCTTAGCTGATTGTGGATGGAACATCCAAACAATGCCAACACCCTCTCCAAAGCGATTCATTTTGGAAGTCATTCCTCACAGAAACCTGGATCACTTCAGAATTCACATGAATTCATTGTGTCAGGGATCTGGTTCTGTTCCTGGGATGAACATCCGCCTTTCACCCAGTTGCGAAAAAAGAGACGTTTTTCTTGGACCCGACCGTTTTGCGACCCGGAAGGTTCCGTGTGCCCTGCCCACCGTTTCATCCCACGACTCCAAAACGACTCCTCCCTGGCGCAGCAGGACTCGCCTGTGAAAACCGGACTCGAAGCCCACCTGGGAGGTAAAAACTAGCCAAAGATGATCAGACGTCGAGCCAGAGGAGTTCGAGGCTCTTTTTCACCACCAAAAGGACCGAAGTAAACGAGAACTGGAGCCATCTGGGGTATTTAACTTTAAACCATCACAGAGGTCTCTCTTCCGGAACATCCCACTGTGTTGCTTCCCTCCGCTCCACTCACCACGGCCCAGTCAGCCGATGAGCTGAGCACGCTGGACAGTGAGGGTTGCGCCGTTTCGTTTCAGACGTGAAACCATTTCCGTGATGAACACCACCAAGCACTCGGGTCTCCTACAATATGTCCTTTGTCTGGTCTCGGGGCCCGCTGTGTGGTCATTTCACGGTGGTGCCATGTGACCTGGAAGGAACACCATGGAAAACTGGACGAGTCCGATCTCCTGGACAAGTGCTGTGAGCTCTCTCAACTGCCAAGGCGCAGCTTTGCCGCGCATTGGCCACGTCCTGGGTAATGACTGGTGTCAGCCATGGACCAACTTGACGAACCCAAATGTGCATCTCACAGTTTATTCTTTGGACTTATGACCGCTGGCTACGTACATCTCACAGGTGAACTACAAGAAATCAAGATCGGTTTCATGTCCAGTGGCTTTGGACCGACCGAATCCGGCCACCGACCAGCGAGTCGGAGCGCACGGGTCCGTCCGCCGAGGCGCAGGAAGGTCTCGGAGCGCTTCAGGTCTGGGCGGCGGCCGGTTGGGTACCCTAATAGCGTCCTTGCTCCTAGTAGCGATGCCAGGAGCCCCTAGTAGCATCCTTGCTCCTAGTAGCGATGCCCTTTGTTCCTAGTAGCTTCTTGCTCCTAGTAGTAAGGCCAGGAGCCCCTAGTTGGCGGGAAAGAAGTGGTCCCCAAATGGCTGTGGGTCGTTCAACCCGGAGCCCAGTTGACCCTGGTGGGTTGACCGACCATCCTGTTGTTTGTTCATGTTTAGCCAAAGTGATGAGCGTGGCACGTGTCCCAACACATTTGAAAGGGATGTTACTTTTAATGTTCTATTTGGGGGATCTATATATACTGTCAAAGAACACGTCACATTGAAGTGCAAACCACCCTGCTTAACGTGGATAGGGAGTCGGAATGTAACACTCCCTCCAACAAACATGGAGCTGGACAATCCCCTGTTTGTAGAGGCCATCGTCTACTTCCATGATTGTTGGAGGGAGGGCATCTTCCAGGGAGTGACCATCTGGTGAAGGGCACAAAACCCAGGAGTTGATCCCCCACCAGATGTCTGAGCTAGAGTTTGTTGCCCACCACCGTCGAAAGCAATGGGGAGAAGAATCCAGCGTCTCTGGTTGGTGAAGAGTTAGATGACCTGTTCCGAAGCGGGGACCCTTCAAGCTGGTGATCTCCCAGCCACTCCTCCGAATGAGGATCCAGGCGACAACCCTAGCCAAAGCCTCAGAGCTTCAAACCAGAAGGTATCCACATACCATTTCAGAAGGTGCTTGGAATGCTTCATGTGGGCTTCATTTCGGCATTCTCCACCGATTAGCTTACGAATTGCTATTTACCCCCCTCAACCTCATCCCATCTGCACCAAGTGGCCCAAGGAAGCCAAGGACAGCAGCAAAAGGCCGCCCAACAGATGTGACCTCACCATGTTGACCTTGATGGCACGAGTTGCCCGACTCTGGCGGAGGCCACGGCGGTCTTCTTCCCATTTTGGCTGAAAGCCGCGATGCAATGCGCGAACACTTGACTATTCAGACTACACTGGTCATTCCTCATGTGTCCCCTTCATTTCTGGATCTCCTCCTTGCTTGCTTCACCACCATGCTATCAGGTGGTGGTGTTAAGAAAGAAGGTTTGCTTGAAAAGGGTCGAAAAAACCCAGGATATCCAGGATGACCCACCAACACCCCAAATCAATCACCTTCCCTCGGTGTTTTGGAACCCTCGGAGCCTGCCTGAAGAAGCTCAGGACAACCAACAGGGGTTGTAATCATCCAAGTTGACAGGCGGCATGACTGCCAAGACTTCTTCTGTTGGGGATTTAAAAGTGCCAAAAAAGAGCTCCAGGTCCATCTCACTCTGTTTGCTGTTCAGGAGATTGGTGTGATCGGTCGATGGTTCTCTTTGGACCAGCCAGGTGGCAACTCGAAAAAACAATTGCTTTGCTTTGAGAAAGTAGTCTTCCTGGAATCTGGACCTCAATGAGCATGAATCAGCCGAGCCGTCAGCAGTTGGACCTCAGCCGTAGTGTTTTCCGTCATCGCCGCCATGCCGTGTTGGCACGGTGTCGTGTTGGCGCAGCATGCCGAAGTCGGTGGTGTGACGCTCTGGGAGAAGCTCGGTTTGTGCCCTCCCATTGGGCCCCATCCTCCAACAGCTAGAATAAAACATGTCCAAGGTTTGACCACCTACCATTTTGAAGCCAATTAGGTAGCAAGAGATGAAAACCAAAGGGCCCTTCTTGCTTTGAGGCAAACCCATCTTCAAAGCCTTCAGCAGGGTAGATCCCAAGGCTTGTTGCTCTCTGGCGTCCACAGCTTGGCTTGGAATGATGCACCGACTAGAGCATGTTGCTTCTGAGACTTAACTCTCTGGCTGCCTCTCCAAACTTGTAGCCTCTCTTCACCTGCACATGGCATTTCATGGACAAGAAAGAGGAACCAAATTGGGTACACCAGGAGACCATTACAAGTTACAACTATCTGCTGAATCTGCTGTCATATACAGACTCCTGGTCTCCTCAAAAAGGCTTCAAGTGCCGACCAAGCGGTCTCATTCATTTGGATCGGCTTTTGTGGCCACAACAGTGAAAAACCACACGAAAGGGATCCATGCGGATGAAAGGGATCCATGCGGACATGAAGACGCAAGCTGAACCACAAGGCATGTCTTATCTGCAGAAGTGTTTGAGCAGATGGGGCAATCTCGGAAGTCTCGCGAAGAGCATCACCCACCTGGAATTAAGGACTGTTCAACGATCCAGATCCATACGCTCATCCACCCAGACAACTTTTGCCTAAATTATGGTTTTGCTTCGCTCTTTGTAAATCGAACCGCCTTCGCCATTGGGCCATTGGGTCTCCGAAAGGAATTTCTAGCATGCCTGGGATCTCTGAAAAGGGAACTGTCACTGGTTTCTCCTGGTTTCTCCTACTTTCCTTCTGGTTTACCATGGCTTCCCATGGTTTTCCCGTTCCATTCCCCTCGGTCCCGTTGGCCTGGATGCATCCAGTCTGTTGCTCCCTCATGGTGTTCCAATAGGAGGCCGGGCCGGGCGACTCCTGGCGCGGCCGTTGGCCGGGCACCGTCGCGTTGCAGCTGAAGAGCTCTGCAGAATGAGTTCGACAACCTTTATCGCGTGACATTCGACATGGAGCGTCAGAAAGCCCAATGAGCAGCCAATGAGCAGCCAATGACCTTCATGGAATCCATGTGCAGGCGCACTTGGTGAAACCACGCGCCGAAAACCCTCGTGACCCTGCGCCTTGGGAGCGCGCTGCCACGGCCGCATGGTCTTGGGGATCGTGGGGTGGGGCTCCAAGCCGTGCTGAGGATTTCCTCGGTGGTGACGATGGCAGCCGTGGCGTGGAATTCCGGTCTGTGAAACCCCACCAGGTCCAGAAACCCATATGTACGTATTGTAAACATATTTATATATACAGTATACAGTATACATTGCAATTTTTGAGTCTGATGTCCTCAATGCGGGCGTTCTCTGTATGTTCAGTCCAGAGCGACTGGCATGCCGACGCTGCGGCCTGGTGCTGTCAACCTCCCCAAAGACTAACACGGGGGAAGCACATCTCCCACTGTCAAAACGTCGATTCCCAAAAGCGGCCCTTCACCAGAACTTGATGGGGTCCCCTTCCAAATCTCGTTTAAAGTTCTCTTCAATCACAGAGTCAAAACACCTGTCAGTTGTTCATGCATGGTGGTCAACTGCCAAAATCTGCATGAAGTGTAGTCTAGGCTGGCACAAGAGCTGCCGCTGCAAGCAAGCAGCTGCCCCTCATTGGAGAACAAGTCTCCGAGGGGTCCGATTCAACTCTCAGCCAATCGAAGAAGTGACAAGAGTACACCTCATGGTGGTGAGAATCTGTGTGAATCCTGCCCTGGGTGGCTCAAGAAAAACATGCCCCAACACCGACACCGGACCGGTTCTACAGAATCACCTGTTTCCAGCCACGTTTCTGCTGTCCTCATCTCCAGACGAAGCCCTTCTTCGGCCATCGGATCGGCCCAGGAGGTCCGGCTCGCGCGGCGGGCGGAAGCGTGCAGCGCGGGAGAAGCTGCCCACGGAGCAGGTGTGGATGTCGCGCTTCCTAGGCCAGTCGGATGTGCCGGTTGTGAGGGGTTTCAATCGGCGTTGGCCGGCTTTGGGGATCAAAAAAGCGATGTTTTTCACTGGAGACTTCGACTGGGTTGCTTGGAGTGCCGAGTTTTCGGGACGGAACTGGAAAGGGCAACCATCGCTACTAGGGTGGAGGCCATCGCTACAATGGTAGAGGCCATCGACATTAGCTTCATTTCTCAGATTTTCGCATCACTTTTGATCCTCAAAGGACAAGTCTCACATGTTTCGCCGAGAGGTCTCAAGGGGTCCAGTCTTGAGCCTAGCAGCAGCTCGTAGTTTCCAGGTCCTGGCTAAAGTCAACTTGAGAGTAAAATGATTCAATTGGAATGATGTGGTCCAACTCCAAAATTGTTCTGCAAAAAGGTTGTGAGAAGGGAATTTCCGTATCTGTTTCAGAGTCACTACAAGTGAACCGTAAACCCCTAAAACTTGAGGCCAAGGGGGGGCGAAAGCTAGCGCTCCAGAATGGGAAAGTGGAGGGCAGCGAGGTAGGAAAAAACACGGCGCTCTTTTTGGAGGCAGGGGTGAAGAGTCCTTTATATGTGGCTCTTTGCCAGGATCCTCCTGCGAGAGAAGAGAGAGAAGAGAGACGGAAAGACGAGAGACAGAGAGGAGAGAGAGAGAGAGGAGAGAGAGATGAGAGAGATGAGAAAGAGATGAGAGAGATGAGAGAGATGAGAGAGACAGTGAGACAGTGAGAGAGTGAGAGTGAGAGTGAGCGAGTGCGGCCGCAAGATACGCAACGCTAACCGCATGCCAAAGAGCGACGACAGGACGGAGTCGAACTTGCGAAGAGGGAGGAGGGAGGAGGGAGGGAGGGAAGATGGGAGGAAGACAAGGAGGAGGAGAGGGAAGGAGGTGGGGAGAGGGGAGGAGGGGAGGGGGGGGGGTTCATCGGGGGGGGGGGGGGGGGTCTTCGACCTGAAAAATCAGGGGTTAGGATTTGCACCCGGTCGAAAGAAACCTTGCTATCGCAAGAGTAACTCCAGCTAGCTTCGCTAGCTTTCGTGATAAACCAATGCCAGTTCTTGGAACGACGTCGACGACGTATCACCGACATGAATCTACAAATCTACACGTCTACACAGAAAGCAACAGGAGCTTTGATACACCATGAAATATCAATGCCAAAAGCCTCACAATGTGTTGTCTCTTTCGTTTAAGGATGTTTAAGGTCTCTATACTGTGCAAAGCGTTCGAGCAAGAGGGGCTGCCTACACACTTGGCAGCCTTGAAGATCATACTACATTTCAAACTCTACTCTTGAAGGAAGAGTTCTCCCTGCCCCAGCCCCACCTGTGATTTCACACACCCCAAAAGTCGACCGGATAATCCAAATAGAAGTTGTCCTCTCCACTGCCGTCTCAATCACCTCTATACATCGCTACCACCGCCACCACCCCCCCGCCCCGAGCTTCCGCTGTCTCCCCACGGCGATCTTCCCCTTCCCGGAACCGACCCCCGAACCGTTCGCTCACCTGGGGTGGAAGTGCTCCGGTGGAATCGCCGCGGGGCCTCGCTCCAGCGTGGACACTTGGAGCAGTGCTGCACGGACCTCAGAAACCGGCCGGGAGGGGAGGAGTGGTGGCCATAAATGGCCATAGGCTGTGAGGGTGTGTGACATGTTTCACCGAACCAGTTCATCTTGCTCTTCGGTCATTCAACCAAGTCAGCTGCCACTCAAAACCCGTCCAGCGGCGATTGAAAGAAGCTCCGCCCAGTGTTCCAGTAGGTCTCTGGGCCAATGGGAGCCACCTCGAGTGGACGAACGGCCCGGTCACCGTCCATCCGGGAGAGGTCTGCCCAAACGCCCCTGGTGTTCCAAGGGCAAGTACTTGTCGATCTGTTTTCGGGTCACTACTTGGTTGGAGAAATGCTGCATCCAATCAGCATCTAAATCCTGTTTGGCATGCTAACCTGTTTTCCACCCGAAATCGAGGCTGCTCGACTTCCAGGGATGTCAAGCTACCCTACAGCTCGGTTTTATGTGGACCTGCAGCTACATTCTCCCCAGATCTAGGCTAAACTTCCCATCATTTTGCGAGGTCCTCGTGCGAGTTCACTCAGGCTGGTGCCACGATCGCCAGGCCAAAAAGATTCCTCAGCCTGCCTCTTCGTTCACTCAAAATCCGGAGACTTAGGCTCCACTGACTCAACTGCCATGTGCCCCAGCTTTCTGGAGTTCCACTCTCAAATACGGTGTGGGACGCAACTTGTGGTGGACAAAAAGCAACAAAAAATGCAAACTTCCACTGCTGCAAGAGATTTGTGTAGGAGCAGGAGCCTCCCAAACG